AATGATGAAAATGGGCCAAGCCCAAAAGCTGTTGAAATGTTTTTCTGGAAAACATTGCCCAATAACTCAGTCAAGAATCAGGCCCATAACCCGAGCCCAAAAGGAATAATCAAGTTTGTTGCTCTGGACCGTCGGATGAAGTCTGATCTAACGGTGGATGGCTTAATCTATATATACTGGTTGACTGTTCATTTTTTGATGAATTTCTTTCACCCCGTTCATTACTTTGTGCGAGAAACTATTCTAGAGAGTTCTTCCTGCCTTTGTGTCTTCGTGTTCTGCTAAGTAATTACATACAGTTTACTGCCTTTGTGGATGGATTGAAACATTTGGTTTCTAATCCTTGTTCTGTGTGATATTGCCTTTGTGGTTGAGGGTGTTTGGAGGAGTAGATCGTTTCGTTCGAATGTGTCCATTGAAGTAGCTTCTTGGATTATTTCCTTAGGGCTTTGGGTAGTTCGTGGCTGATTTGAGATTGTACAGACGGGTACATTGTCTATGTGAAAATTCTGAGCCCATTGTAACTTTTAAATTTTCTTTGTGTAAATCCGATTTCGAACATTCTTGGTGAATATATTTCTGCTTCCGTTTGGTATATTCCTTACACAAAATCCAGGTCATAATAGAAAATAAGGTAGAAGCATATTAATGTAAAATGGAGCAGTTAACCTAAGAGTGTACTTTTTTTTTTTTCTTTTTTTTTTCAGAATATCTTTAATGACTTGTGACATAGAAAATTCAGCAAAAAAAGCTTCTGATTGCACTGGTAAGTAAAGTTGATATGAAAGAAGCCATGTCTGGTGAAAACGATGATAATACACACTCGGGATTAGCTATTCACTACTTGTCACAATATACATCTGTGTAATATAAAAGTATTATCTGCGCATTTTGACATTTAGTGGAATTTCCTTGTAAGATTGGACCTTTATGGCTGCTTGGCGTGATGGCCTGCCGAGAGATGATCTTCCAAACTTTTGAGGTTCATATCTTGGTGCAGAAACGCATTCCTTTACTTCATTTTTTACTGCTGCACTTGCTGAAATTGAATCATTTTCCAGGACTGTATTATCAGGCAACGAACATACTGGAAATCTGGCATCACATATCTCGAACAAATCCTCAGCAGGCTTTTTTTCTTCAGCTTTAAACCTGGCAGATTGCCTCCTCACAGAGGATCTGTCAAGACAACCCCGGAAAAGCAGGGGAGAAGAGAGAAAATCAAACAGGGCTTTTTATACAATATAATGAGAAGCTGTGTTTTATATCTGGACGTGTAAGAAGAGAAAAACCTTTTCTTTTCAGTCTTACTCACAGACTGGACTTGATCGGATGATCCTACAATAACCCAAGGACGACCATTTTAGCGCACAGATCTTCCTTCTTAAACTTTAAATGAAGCAGTCCCAGAAAATGTACTTACTGTATGATTGTGACCTCTTCCTCGTATTTTGAGGTCTTCGATCTCCTCTATCTTCTATCAAGGACTTGCCTGGATCTTCACATTTGATCAACTTCACCTTCAGAAATTTTAAGCAGGTGTAGAGCGGATTAAAAAATTAAAGCCAGAAGGTGATAACAACATACATACACATATGTATCTGTATGTCCATTGTTATATCCCGGACAAACCATTCCTAAGAGTAAAAGATGTCATTTAGTTAAGAGTAAAAGTTGGTGTGTAAGAAGTTATTTTATTATAAAAGGTAGTATAGTTATTAAAAAAAAGAAAAAGTTGGTGTGTAAAGGGTAGTATAGTGATAAGTTTTAGTTAAGAAGGGGGTTTTTTAGGGATGGTTTGTTTGAGTATTATTACTTGTTGACGTCTAATCTATACGTCCATTTTTATATACTTGGAGAGAAAATACTGAACCATTCACAGATCAGCTCTAATACCTCAGCATCAACGTTTTGGCAAGGTTTCATTCTTTCTTTTTCCTGGGTAAGCCAAAAAAGCCAATTAATCAACAATAAAATACAAACCATTTTGCTGCTAGCCACCGTAAAATTGCACAAATACTGACCTCGAACTGCAACTGTCTTGCTCTGAGCAAACCATTTTTGCATCCAAGCTCATGTTGTAATGCTCTCAACTGAAATTATTACAGCGATAGACATATTGGTTCGAAATATATGACATGCGGGGACTCAGAAAATAGATATTGGAAAAGAAAAGAAACATTTTTGCGTTGTCGTACATACCCGATCTTTACCTGAATTTAATTCCTGCAAATTCAATGAAGCAGGGAATATCAAACTTAAGAAACACAACCTAAAGAAAAAACTACAATATGCAACAACAGATCCAATCCACCAATTGTGGTAAATACAGGATAGGAAAAACAGACCGTGAGCATTTTAGTGTTGGACTGGGCAAGTTGTTGATTCTGTTCCTGCATTTTAAGCAGGTTCACTCGCAGTCTTTCTAACTCAATCCCACTCTGTTCAATGATTTTGCTGTCAAGAAAATTGTTTAAGGAATGCAATGACAACAACTGTACAGGGTTAATCAAAATCAAATGATGTACCGGCAATGATAAATAGTGACAAGTAAAAGCAAAGATTGAAAAAAAAAAAAAATTAATCCTAAGAGGATACTTTCTCTGTGCCAGCATCGTTACTAGAGCCACGTGTTCCTGAAGCAAAGTTGCAATTTAGAAAAATCATACACATCAACAAATACAGCGATTATGTAGATTATACGACTTACAAGTTACAAATGGATTACCTTTTGGATCTGGGCAATATACTCTTTAGTAGTTCTTGAAAGAGATTGTGGTTTCTCCCCTTGAAATGAGGGCCTAGATTTTTGTGGCACATTGCTAATGTCTGCAAGCTTTCTCCTTGCAGCACTTCCAAGACATGGATTGGTTAATTTTTCACCTTTATGTTTATCTAGAGTTTTCAATCCAGAAATTCAAAAGCTAATCAACAACCACTACCCCAAAAACCATATAAATCCTTCTACAGAAACAAACTCACAAAATAAAAACTCAGAAATAATTATAAATTAGAAAATGACCCTAATTCTTTTATTCACAGCGAGAAAGCCCTAATCATCACCAAAAGATCACAAATTCACAATTAAAATCTATAACAGAGATAGTTAGGGTTCTTTGGTCAAATTGAGTATTTCTATTTAAAACTTGTTAGAAAGTTAATTATCCAATCTCTAGCTGAAACGCAAAGCCACGAACCCTAATAGGCACTTCAAGGTGAAAAAACTGCTTAAGCCAAAATGACGCTACAAACCGTACTGATACAGTTACAATATATTCAAGCATTACATGAATGTCAAAAAAAAAAGGCATATAAGTACGTCAAGAACAGGGTTCACATACGTATTCAAAAAGCTCATAGTTTTTCTATTAGTAAATATCTAAATTGACCAGGAAAAAATAATCACAAACAACTGGAATCAAGAACTACCTCCGGCTGTTACAGCATTCTCCGAACCAAGAATCAGAAAACCTTCCATTTTCCACCTCAATTTGAGCCTTAATACACTTCTCTCCTAAATTGTTCAACCAACCCGAATCTCTATAATTGCCAATATGTCTAGCTTTCTCTCTCCATGTGAGTGTGAGCGAGTGTGTGCACGGGCGAGAGAGAGACTCCCCTGAATCCCAGATTAAGAATTGAAACTGGGGAGGGAAAAGAATAGTGCGGTTTGGAGTTTCCGAAGCAAATTCCGAACCTACTTTGAATCTCACATTACGCGGAAGCTGAAAATAAATCGTCATGGTCCATGTCCAATTGGGAAAAGGGCTTCGGCTGGCAATTGGAAAGAGAAAGCGAAATTGACACAAATAGCACAAACTGAGTTTCTCATTTAAGCCTTCGTTTGGCCTTATTAAAATTATAATTTATTTTTTCTCCCCCTTTTTATTAATCACACATTTTTCAATAAAATAATATTATACGTAAATAAAATAAAAATTCTTCTTTTTAATAACACTTTCTTCAAAAAAATATTATTCTAAAATTTATAATTTGGAAAGAAACCACATCACAGATCATATATGCGAAATGTTTTGATATAAATACGAAAAAAAATTGAGAACATAAATATGATAACTAGTAAAGATTATAAACATTTAATACAATTAAAATGTAGTGTACTTATGAGAATAATTCCATATTTTGTATATAGACTTTTGTACAAGTACTTGGAGGCTTAAAATAAATAACAAATCTACATCAAAAGTATTAAACGAGCATACTACAAAATAAAAAATTAAAAGAATCAAGTCCAAACGTTACAACATAATTTTAAATGAATGTTGCTAATGTCGCATTTTGTAACATTAATTGACTATTGTAAAAAGTTTTATTTTTTCAATGTTTATTAAACGTTGTTAAAATCTGATTCTATAGCATCGTTTAGCGTCTGTCGTCGAAGCTCTTAATATATAGCCTTTTGTAATGTTGCAAAAAAGTAAAATAAAAGTAACAACAACATTCAAAAAACATTGCAAATAAGTTAAAGACAACATTTAAAAAACGTTGCAAATAGGTTAAAAACAACGTTAGAAAAATGTTGCAAATAAGTTAAAGACAATATTCAATGAACTTTGCGAAAAAATAAAACACGGCGTTCACTGAGGGCCTTTTGCAACAGCCTTTGAATGTTGTCTATCCTCATACTCTACACAATATCGAAACCCCCAACATATGTCCTAACGTTGCGAAAGCCCTTTCGCAACTATTTTTACCGTTGCAAAAGATTGTTTTTGATGTAGTGAAAAATAGTCTTAAGCTAGAATGAGTAAAAGATAGTAGTGAGTGTGATTGGCATTTTAAGGAAAAATCCTTTCAATTAGAAACTATATTAACAAAAGAGCTATACTAAATGTACAAAAATTATGTATAGATAGATTGATAGATGTACAAAACCATATGTACAAGTAGATTAATTGTTAACACAATATTCATTAAAGAATTACATTGCTTGGATTCTGTTAATTGTTTTCCTTAACCTAATTAGGAATTCCTACAGAATTGGAGTAGCATCTATAAGTGACGTTGGGTCAATTTGATATGGCTTTTGCTTTTACTTCCTATACAAGACATTTCTAAAAAATCTACTTTAATTTTTGTTTAAAAACTAATTTCTAAGTTCCTGTCTGATAGAACTTAAATGCTGGCTTAAAATCAGGAATATTGACGTTGGAGCAGCCATGTGGGACCTATGCGTGAGAGAGTGAGTCAACAATGGTGGGCCGTAACGGGTGGAAAATTGATTTCTTCTCCTCCAAAAGCTCTCCTAGACACTACGTAAAAGAGATTCATATTTTGGAAGTGCTTTGAGGAAGCCACATTGAACCAACTTCCTTTAAATTTTTTCTAATTAGAAGAAATGCTTTCGTAATATTAGTCAAATGGATTCAAAAGCAATTTTTGATTCTCAGGAGTCATGCCAAACAAGCCATTCATGCACTTAGTATGTTTTAAAATGCATGTAACATGCGATTCACTATGCTCATGTGTGTTTTGCCATATGATACAATGTAAAAAATGATATACATGTAACATAATTGAAATTGGACAGCTTTTGAGTACATGATCTGATGTTAGATTCTGGAGTCTATGAGAGTCAAAAGTAATTTGATTCTCAAACTGCAACTTGCTAAAGTTGGTACAATAACGAATGGAATTTAGCTACCAAAAGTCTTCCTTCAATTATTTTACTTGCTATGGTTTTACGATAGTGATTTTTTAGATCCGGAGTAGGCACCGGAGCAGTGGGGTGGTGGAGGTGGGGTGGGTTAATCATATTATAGTTAAATATTTAATTTAATAGATTAATTGTAAAATATAATTAATAAATTAATGAGAAAACCTGAGTTTTGTAATTTAAAACTTTGAGACCTGATTTTTAATTTCCTGAAAGTAAATTCCTGAACCATAAATTTTTCCCCTTAAAATTAGGAATATTGCCATTGGAGCAGCCATGTGGGACCTACGCGTGAGAGAGTGAGTCAACAATTGTGGGCTGTAACGGGTGGAAATTTGATTTCTTCTCCTCTAAAAGCTCTCCTAGACACTGCATAAAAGAGATTCATATTTTGGAAGTGCTTTGAGGAAGCCACATTAAACCAACTTCCTTTAAATTTTTTTCTAATTAGAAGAAATGCTTTCGTAATATTAGTCAAATGGATTCAAAAGCAATTTTTAATTCTCAGGAGTCATGCCAAACAAGTCATTCATGCACTTAGTATGTTTTAAAATGCATGTAACATGCGATTCACTATGCTCATGTGTGTTTCATTGATGTGAATCGAGTTCAATAAGAATGACACATTTATGCACCTCTTTTCATTCATCGTGTGTGATACATTTTAATTTGCCTGTAAGATTTGATTTGGTGCATTTAAACTTGTTTTATGGACATTGATCGAATTCAACTTCAATAGCACAACATCATGAACTATATATCCTTAACAATATGATATTATCCACTCCTTTTTCACTAGATTAGACAACTAAGTCGGATATCGGACAAGAAGGAAAGGTGACAAAGATTCTACAAATGTAACAAATCAGAGAAATCCGATGTAAAAAACACGAGCACAAGTTAAGATTCATATGTATAAACTACTTTATAAACTATTTGTTAATTTGCTTAATGGAACCCAATTAGAAATCGTATTCAGCCTCATAAAATTAGTGTTAATATGGTTGTTTTAAAATTTTATTATTATAGTGTAAATCTTTGATTTTCCAATTACACTAAAGGGGTGTTTGGTAGTGATTTGAGAATTGATTCTCAAATCAATTCTCATTTTCAACCACACATTTTTCAATAAAATAATATTTTTCATCACATCAATAATTTTTTCTTCTTTTTCAACCACACATTTCCCATCATATCACTATTTAAAAATCAATTTTTCTCTCAAAAATCCCTACCAAACAAGCTCTAAAATTATTGATTTTTCGACTTCAACTTGAGAATTGGGATTTTTGTTATGGTACTTTTCTAGGGTTTAATCTTGACTTCCGTTCCCATCGAAAATTTGAAAGTTTTCCAAGTGTTTGTGTAGATCTATTTTTTTGTAAATTGGATCGATAATGCCAAATGTATGCTCCTTCCTTTATATTGATTTTGACATTGTCTTTATTTTTTGAAAATTGTGGGCGAAAAATTTTTTTTCTTTTTCAAACAATCAAACGGTGTTTTGTCATATGACACAATGTAAAAAATGATATACATGTAACATAATTGAAATTGGACAGCTTTTGAGTACATGATCTGATGTTAGATTCTGGAGTCTATGAGAGTCAAAAAGTAATTTGATTCTCAAACTGCAACTTGCTAAAGTTGGTACAATAACGAATGGAATTTAGCTACCAAAAGTCTTCCTTCAATTATTTTACTTGCTAAGGTTTTACGATAGTGATTTTTTAGAGATTATGAATTCACGTGACTTGTAAAATAGAAGTGTTCAAGTAATATCTCAATCCATTTTTTTGGGAAAATAGGCTTTGTAATAGTGATTTTTTTTTGTTGGAGATTGTATAGTTAAAAATGGGAAAAAATTATGTGTTTATGTGTAAAAACATTTTATTGGAAGAATGTGTCTTTGAAAATGTGTTTGATTAAAAAGAATTTTTGAAAAATAAGGATAAAACAGGGACTTAGCCTTTGTATGGATTCCATTAAAATCAAATTTCGGGGAAAAAAATATATTTTGAAATAATGAATTTTTGAAGAATGTATGATTAAAAAAATAATGAAAAATTTTGAATTTACGTATAATATTATTTTGCTCTTGTTTGAGCCACATTCTCATTTTTCTACTCATTTTCAACCACACATTCTTCAATAAAATAATAAATCAATAACTTTTTCCTTATTTTTTAACCACATATTCCTATGGCTGTAAATGGATCCGATATGGATCGGATCTGCCTATATCTGATCCGATCTGATAAGAAAATTTATCCGATTCGATCTGATCCGATAATCCAACGGATCTTTAATTATTAAATGAGGAAATTATATGGAGGCAGGAGTTTAAAGTTTCAAATTCAAAAATTAGGAACCAAGTTTCATTTATCCATATCCGATTTGCAATGTTAATGGATATCCGATCCGATAATCCAATCCGAAATTAATAAAAATTAGGAAAAAAAATTTTGAACTAACTTGAGACTCACATATTTTTCCTAGCAAGCCCAATAATAACTTCTACTATCATTATATTCCTTTTTAAAGGAGATGCCATCTTCTATTTTTCTATTGACTTTTGATGTGAGATAATGTAAAATTGAATTTCAATTCTAATATAACTATTTTATTTCATTATTTCCATTAACAAATCAAATTATTTGTTACATATTAATTATTAGTTTTTGAAGTTGTAAAATAAATTACAATAATAAATTTAATTAAGAAAAAGATAGATATTTATTTATTTTAAATTAGTAAACTAAAATTAGAAAAACATTGGTTGAAATCAATTTTTTTTTTTA